GGGTGCCAGTGCAGAATTCAAACCCAAGTAGCTAGCTCCAAAAACTGTGCCTTAAACCACTGAGCTGACTGCCTCTCACAAGCAGAGGCGGTGGGGATAAGGGAGGTGAAGGAGGAGTGTGTGGATGGAAGAGCAGCCCCAGGAGACTGGGAGCACACGGGGAAGGAGAGGGAAGCCAGAAGTGAGTAAGCAGGTCCTTAACAAGAGCAGGAGGCAGGATACAAAAGCAAAGACAGGCAGCACAAGCAAGGAACAGGGAGCTGGGTACGTGGCTGCTTGAGCCCAAGGGGCCTGATCACACACACCGCAGACACAAGCAGGGGCCAGCCAGTGGGCCAGCAACAGACCAAGGGGAATTCATGGAACCATAAAAGTCCCTATATTGTGATCCGCAAAAAGCAGACACTTGGCAACCATATCCCTTCCTCCATGAAAACAAATACACAAACAAGCAAACAAAAACAACAAGAAAGGTTTAGGATACCATGAACTGTAAGCCAAATTTTGGGCATGGATCAAGACACCATTTATTAATTTAAATCTGAGTTTTTGAAATAAGCCCCTTGCTGTCTTGCCTAGGTAAAAACATGGGAGCAGGTAACATTTGTTACGTTTATGAAATTAAGTACCAGATACTACATGGATAACTTTGTACGTGTAATCTCATTTCATCATCAAAACACTAAGAACTGGTTTATCCCCATTTATGGATGAGGAAACTGAGGCTCAGACAGGCCAGGTCACTCAGTAAGCTGGGCACAGGGACAAACATACGACTCCCTCCCAGGTCTGTCTAGTGTGAACACTGACAGTCACTGAGCCAACACGGACTAACACAACATGAATATAATCGCTGCTCCACATTTCCCCCCATACTTTAGCCTATGGCAGCATTAGGATTTGTAAGGAACACAGACAAGTGGGAGCAAATCCCACTATAGCACCGTGCTCTGGATTTTCTCTCTTGTAGAGAGCCATCCTTATAGAAGGGCTGTAGCCTTATTTCTATGTGTGTGACCAGCAGGAAGGGAAGCTTTTCAGTGTGCTTATCATGTGACTCAGAGAAGCATAGTGTGCTCTGGACTCTGAATACTTCCACAGCTCAGAAATCTTGGGGATCAGCTCAGCTGGTTGTCTGAGCTTCAGGATAAAAAGAACTGCAAGGAATTTTATAAAGAAGCTCAATGCCTAGAAGATAATCACTTCAGCCCTTTCTGACTGTTTCTCACTATGCTTTATACCTCCCAGAGGCTTAGTCATTCCAGAAAGCCCTAATGGATAATGGTCATATCGATGGCTACCAACCATCTTTTGGACACACTTCCTATATTTTTAAGCCTGCCTCTCTATGGCAAAACCTTGAACCTGCTCTGTCAGCTTCCATTGCAACTATGGCACAGATAGATGCCCAAAGACACCTGCCACAGACTTTGACTCAGGAGCCAGTGACATAAGGAGAGGGGAAAAGAAAACCACATTATTTGACTATGTGATAGAAATAAATACACTGTTGGTGGGAATGCAAGCTGGTGCAGCCACTCTGGAAAACAGTATGGAGGTTCCTCAAAAAGTTGAAAATAGAGCTACCCTATGATCCAGCAATTGCACTCATGGGTATTTACCAAAGATACAAATGTAGGGATATAGCAGCAATGTCCACAATAGCCAAACTGTGGAAAGAGCCAAGATGTCCAT